GATAGTAAATACTATTATGCAACGGAAACTAACAGGATCAAAATCACGATCGAATTTGATCTTTGTAAAAGAAAAAAAAACTACATTAGAAGACAGTAATTATATTGAATAACGAGTAAACGATGTGTCTTACTTTATCTTAAATATGTATACTGATGAATGTATATTTATCAAAATTTCTAAAATTACTGAAAGCCTTTCAGCTTAGTTAGATTTGTACAATCAGGAATAAGATATATTTAAAAGAGAAAAAAATTCAAACGCGCAATGATTGACTAATGCCTAATGCGTTATACTGAACTGATAACTATTCTTTTCTAAAAACAACATAAAAAACTTGTTGAACAAAAATTTCTCGTCCGATTTTATCTCCTTACAGGTACTAATCTAAATAATCTGATGTAACTTAATATAACAAATAGTTCATTTCGATTATGGTGGCAAACGCACGTCATCATATTCTTGGCTTTTTTCAACCAAGAATAAAATAAGAATGCTTTTTTTCTGCTAGTATTTGTAAAGACGAGAATATTTTTCTTTAAATATGGATAATTAATTTCAAGCAAAAAATGTGCAAGTGCAAAAAAATAAAGTCTGATATCAAAGTACGTGGCACTATTATTGTTGAATCGTTTCTAACTTTTACTAGCATTAACTTACAGTATTTCTAAACAACCATTACCTGAGATAAATTCAGCTGTGTTACGCATATATCTAACACACAAAATATTATAACATGTAACACACAATCGAATCCAATCAAACTACTCACAAGATTATCGTATTCTAAAGAAATATATAGTACGCTTATGTGCGAGTCATAGATCTTACAACTCACAAACGCCTCGGTTGATTAGTCTCTGAACTGATTCATCATTCATGTTTTCAATTACAAAAATTGTTCGCTTTATGCTTTTCTCCGTGAAGTCTTAGTTCATTTTTTATCGACACATGCATACACATCTCTCAGAACTAACGCAACCTGACGATGCTAGAAATATTTGAAAAAAATACACTACTACTTACATGGGCCTGTAACTCAGGGGTAGAGTGTTCGCTTTGCATGCGAAAAGTCTTGGGTTCAAATCCCAACTCGTCCACTCTTTTTGACACCTGTGAAAATTATTTTTTTTCTTTCGTTCCTTTCTACAGCTCTGTTACATCAAATTACTAGAGTATAGGAAAAATGCATACTTCGGTCGGTTCTATAGATACTTGAAAATGCGCAGTCCTTCTTGCATGGGCCTGTAACTCAGGGGTAGAGTGTTCGCTTTGCATGCGAAAAGTCTTGGGTTCAAATCCCAACTCGTCCACTCTTTTTGCACTCTAAATTTAAATGTGCCGCTTTTATATGTTGTAACATTTTGTGTTGTGTTATCGTTGAGAAGATTGTGTTGCTCTTTTATCTGTCGTAGAAAATGTGTCGCAAATAAGCATGTGTCGTAAAATCAGATAAGTTTGCTATCGTAGCGAAATATGATTTTATTAAAAGATTATATTTACGTTGATGTGTAAAATTCATAAATCACTTCTTTTCAATGTGAAAAAATTATCAGCAGTCTCAGAAAAAAATGTTGATTTCATTTACACTATTCGTTGAACAAGTCAGTCCGTTAAATTTGAACCATTCATATAAATTCGTTAGTTCTTTGTAATTATCTTCACATGTATGTAATCATCTTTATTCATGCATTAATGAATTGTGTTGAGCAATAAGCTGCTATTTTTATTTATCAAGATATCTTTATTTTTACATCCATTTATGCTTGAGACTGAAAGAAATTTGTCGCTTCAAATATATTATGTCTGATCATATAATGAAATTAAAGAGATCTTTACACGTTAGATTTAAAATCGTGATTATTTTAGATTAAATAGCCTATTCAGTGAGCCAATGGTGCAATGTCAACATCTTCAAGACGAAACAACATTACTCATAGTATAATATAGTATATCTTTTTCAATAATTTATTCTACTGTCTTCTCATTGTTTTAGATTTACTACAAATACAGCAACAAATTTTTGTTTGTCCCGTTTGCAAAATGACTTGTGACTCTCTCAGTTCTTGCACGAAACACATGCATTCTTATCACTCTTCCACACACAAAGTAGTGGTACCCTGTCTATTCTGCCCTGAAACAATGACACAAGTGCGAAGTTGGAAAAGACACATACTAAAAATTCATTCTAATAGAGTCAGTCTTTATTCATATAATATAGACTTATTTCTCATTTTTTATAAATAGTTTAATCAACAGTCTACTGATTACTATGGTGCTGCAAATAATAATGCTGATAATTCGGTACCCGTTGTGACTGATAATGGTTTTGATTCTAAGAGTCTCGATGATGATAATGAAGGAAATGTGATGATCAATGATCAAAATCATTCCATTAGAAATTCTACTCATTCTGTTTCTGATTATCAGAATGATTTGAATCATGAAAATAAAGAAAGATTAAGCAACACTGAAGAACGATTGAAATTAAATATTTTACGCTTGCTAATCAATTTAAAAAGCAACAATGCAACGGAAACATGCATTGACATATGTTCAAAAGATGAGATCAATATTCTCAATGAATACAAAGAGTGAATGTGAGTTTTATTGTAACGTATCATACAAAAATGAAAATATATACATTTAGACTGAAATATACTTCAACAATATTAGAAAAACTATTAAAACGAGTATATGTCGAGATAAGTTTATTTCAACTCATATAAATGTTATTCGACCAAAATCGATCACATTGGGTCATTCAGTAAGTATATTAGTACTTAGTAACTAGGATGAGTCAAATAACACTATTTACATCAGATGAAAAAGATGACAACTGACGAAAATATTAAATTGATTTCTTCAATATAAAAATATGATTTTTTTATTACACTATCAACGTTAACAACTGTTAAACTACGTAGAGATTAGTAAGAATGACTCTAGTCTGATGATTTCTCCCATTTGTATTTTCTTAGATAAAACATAAAATTTGCATCATGATAATTTTGTTCCTACCTATACTTCAATAAATTCCTTCTTTTATTTAGTATGTTTTTAATAAAAACAAAAAAAAAGACAAATACGTTACATCCATAAAGCACAATGCATTCCGTTTAAAGAATCTCTGATTAACTTGCTCAAGAAACCTGAAGTTCTTGAATCATTAAATTGTCGTAGTCGATCGAATGTTATGACCGATTTGTCCACAGGTTCGTTTTGTGAACAACATCCTTTGTTCTGCATACCCGATCGTTTGAAAATAATCTTGTTTTATGATGATATTGGCATAAACAATCCTCTTGGATCTCGAGTAAAGTCAGTTGGTATGTTTTATTGGACATTAGCCAATTTGCCTCGGTAAGAAATCGAATTTTACAAAGATATACTATATTTTAATCATTTATGATTATTATAGGTTTGAACGCAGCCAAGACAGATGTGTGTTTCTGCTGGCTTGTATCGAAAAAAAAATATTTGAAACAATATGGATTTATTCCTGTACTGGATGATTTTTTTCATGCAATTAGAGAACTTGAAACTAATGGTCTTTCTCTTATCATTGATGAAAAAACTCATGTTTTTCGAGGATCTCTTTCACTCCTATACGGAGATATACTAGGTAACGCATGTCTTTCATACTAATACTCTTATTATTATTTTACAATACTCTGTTAAGGTCTTGCTCAGATGCATGGGTTTAAATATGCTTTTCGATTAGATCGAAAACCTTTTTTTTTATTGTGACGTGAATCAAGATGGACTTAGAAGAATAAACAAAGGTGGTGATTGTCAATTACGAACATTAGAAAAGTATGACAAGAACTGTATGGCAATCGATTTTGCAGATGGACCAGAAAAAACGAAATTACAGAAAAAATTCGGTATTATTTCATTGTCTCCATTCCGAAAAGTGCATAATTTTAATATTTTTCGGCAAACGGGAATCGATATTATGCATGTACTACTAGAAGGTAACTGTGTTTTATTCTACCTGGTTACCTATATCGTTTCTCAATTTCAACTTTAGGAATATGTCAACGAGAACTTAAGCTTCTTTTTAAACAAATTCATCAAGAAAAACATGCTACTCTAGCTTCACTTGCTACAATGATTCGGAATTTTCAATATGGTTCTGATGAATCGTCTCCATCGAACAGTTTTAGTCTTTCATCTGAAGAGAATGAGGTATGCTTTTTTCTGCTGAACTTCTCATTTATGAAAAAATTGATCTTCACTTTGTTTTATTATTCATTCTACTTCATAAAAAAATTAGCTAAGTCATTTTAAATGGTAGTTTTCATTCCGAATATAGATTAATATTTCAGTCTGATACATTATTTCAAAATTTCTCTTCTGACTTCAGGATCGACATTTAAAATTACATGCACATTGAAAGAAAACGTACTCTAGATATCGCATGGGAAGAAAAAGTAACTTTGCCATGAAAACGCTAGCTATGTTGAATCGTCATTTCCTTCTCAAATTTTTTTTAGTAGCAAATTTACTTTATGTTTGGTTTTCTGTCATTGACGAAATATTTACAGCATGTTTTGAATCACTTTACATTGTGAAAAACATATTTGGTTTTGAATTCTTTCAGTCTACGTGCAAACATTAGCTTTATTTTATATTTTAGGTGAAGTTTCGTTCATCGGCAAGCGAAATGTTAACTCTTTTCAAATATATTCCTTTTATTTTTGTATCAAGCACGTCTAATTGAATCAATATCTGCATCGTTGTATTGGCTTTCATTTCTTTTGCTTCGTGAAATCGTGTCTATTTCGTTTGCTTCTGAAATTGATACTACAACTATCGAACAATTCGAAGAGATCGTTCATCGCTATCTCATTACATTCGATAATGCTTATGGCTTCACTCAAAGACTGCCAAAACATCATCTATTAGTTCTCTTCGGTGAACAAATGAATCGCTGTGGGCCATTAAGATTTACCAGTTGTATGGTTTTCGAGAAGAAGCACATTTTCTTCAAAAGAATGAAATATAGAAATTTCCGAAATATTGCATTTACATTGGCTGCTCGTCATCAATATTATATTGCTTCTCAAATGTATACGTGTGATAACACATCTATGTCTTCATTTCTTTATAGTGGCCATAAGATTAAGAAAATTAAAGAATTACACAGCTCGGCTGCTAAACAGCATCATTCACTTAATCCAAAACAAGCTTTATTTGAAACTGGTCAAATAACCCTTTTTGGAATCACTTATGCCATAGGAGATGTTGTACTTATTAATGACTGTGTATTTCCAACTGATCCTGTTTTCGAAAAAATCCTTACAATTATCGTGCAGAACAAAATTATTCTTCTTCGTCTTCAATTATTACAAATTATTGTTTTTAACCAACACCCAGGTTGAAAAAGCACGAGCGTAAACGGTCGTATACAAACAAAATACGACGAATTACGATGGTCGTATACGATGTTTGTATACGTCAATCATATACGATGCAATACGGTGCTATCCGGTAGTCGTAAACGACCGTTCCATACGACCATCGTAAACGACGTTCGTATACGATCGTATATTTGCCGTGTTCAACGCTAAGTAACTTTCTTTGTATAAAAGAATTTTTTGAATAATTATGAGTTACGATCGTACAATGAACAGTAAATATTATTTTAACCTAAACAATCTTTTTTTTAAATTATATTAACAGCAAAACGAACAGTAACTATTAATTTATTTAAGGCTACCCTCTCAAACAAGTCACTTTTTGTCAAAATGACCGAAATTAAGATAAATACAGGGTAAGATAGCCCGTGATCTGATCTTTCACAAACGACAAAAGTTTTTACTCGACATCTCGTTTTTTTCCAAAACGTTTTGAGGATTTCCGTTATCCCCTATTCAAAAAATAAGCTGCTTTCGAAAAAAAAACGAAAATCGTTTTCGCCCTTTCTCGTTTTATGAGTTTTCGATCGCATTTGCAAGAATTCTCGAAGGAGCTTCATTGTAGCCAATAGTTTATTTTGTTTGATAGAACATGTAAAACTGCAGCGCCTATGAGAGCCCGTTTTTTTATTAAGCTTTGCTTTTATTAAATATACAAACATTTATATAATTAGAGCGCTATTTTTTGAGTTTTTTTGAGTCATTGAACTTTCGATTCCTTTTTTTTCTCCTTAAAAAGTAAAAATTTAAAAAAAAGGTTCTCTTTGGA